ATAGAAGTTACAATCTGACGACTTCCAGAAGGCTACAATTTGAAGACTTTTACGTAGAAAGGTTACAATCTGACGACCTTCACGACAACTGATGGAAGCTCTACTTCAACAGCCTTCACAATCAACATCGGGAGTTACAATCTGACGACTCTCATATTCTCAAGGAGCCAAGACGAAGATTACAAGACAATGATCTTTGCAACGCTATGACAAAGGCAAGACGCGGAGGTCCTCCCCGTGTAACAACATCAAAACGCGGAGGTCTTCCCCGTGTGTCAACAGTAAAACGCCAGGGTCGAACCCGCGTTACAACATCAAAACGCCAGGGTCGAACCCGTGTTACAATGTCAAAACGCCAAGGTTGAACCCGCGTTACAACATCAAAACGCCAGGGTCGAACCCGCGTTACAAACGCCAGGGTCGAACCCGCGTTACAATGTCAAAACGCCAAGGTCGAACCCGCGTTACAACATCAAAACGCCAGGGTCGAACCCGCGTTACAAACGCCAGGGTCGAACCCACGTTACAATGTCAAAACGCCAAGGTCAAACCCGCGTTACAAACGCCAGGGTCGAACCCGCGTTACAATGTCAAAACGCCAAGGTCGAACCCGCGTTACAAACCCCAGGGTCGAACCCGCGTTACAATGTCAAAACGCCAAGGTCGAACCCGCGTTACAACATCAAAACGCCAGGGTCTAACCCGCGTTACAAACGCCAGGGTCTAACCCGCGTTACAATGTCAAAACGCTAAGGTCGAACCCGCGTTACAACATTAAAACGCCAGGGTCGAACCCGCGTAACAAGCGAAACGTGAGCGACCCTCGTGTTTTGGATGTTCAGTCAACACCCAACCTCGCGTCTCAATCATAAGACGTGAGGTTAGGGTCCTGAACGCCAACGTGGGCGTTTGACTCATTCAACATGAGTTGAACGGTTCTAAAACCGTTTCCCACGATTTGGGGGCGGTTACACCCCATTATGGAGAGAATTAAGGGGGCGGTTACACCCCTTAATTCCCTATAAATATGGGTAAACTCAACTGAGTTCAGGGTTCGATTTTTCTTGTTGGCTTGGATCGACCACTGGAGACAGGCTTTTGAGGAGATCGGCATCATCTTCCAACGAAGATCATCTTCAACTTCAGCAACAGGGAGCCTCTGTCCTTGGCTTACAACCGATCTTCGGTTCAAATCAACTCTTTTTTAAGAGTTCAAACTCGATCAGAGTTATCAACTCATCAAGAGTTTTAAACTTGCCACGCAAGTTCTCCACAACGTCAAATCGTGAGGAGAAGACATCGTTCCAGTGAATCAAGACGTGCGGATCGTCAACGGAGAGCAAACTCGACGCGAGCATTCGAGGGAGGCACTCCATCGCCACCGTGAAGAACCCAGTTTTAAACAAAGAGGAAGAACCAATTTCGTTCTCCTCTCTTTTGTAATCAAGTTGTAACCG